TCAAACTGTTAGTCCACGATTTTCTAAAACAACACAGCAAAGGAGGAACAATAAACATATATTAAAATGTAAACAAATACATTGCTGAGTCCGACACCTCGTTCCAACAACTACACTGATCCTGAGGATAAAAGGGGCAAGGCTATGGTTGGGGGTACTGAGAGATAAACAAGGCACTCCATGATAATAAAATCTTGCACATATTTTGGTGAGTATGAATGATATCCAGTCGAACCTCTTTAGGACGAACACCAAGGGACCGATGGTATTTATTCTGTGAGTTTGTCTTAACCTATTTTATAACCAGTGAATACAATTATTTCTCCAATAGACATACGAATAGATTTCTTCTACAGCGAAAGATTCTAAGCCACACCGACTCATTGACTCGTCTTGTATGAAACAAATGAGTCACTAGAGAGGTTCTGCAAAACGAAAATGCGTACAAACTTTCGCAACTTTGGACGCGAAACTTGCAGGGAACGTGAAATGAACTGTCGTAGGAAATTTCGTGAGATCGGGTCATGGCGTACGTGCACTTAATAATAATAATAATAATAATAATAATAATAATAATAATAATAATAATAATAATAATAATAATAATAATAATAATAATAATAATAATAGTACAGGTCGCATGTCTCCCAAATAATGGGTTCCACGCATCTGTCAACTGTTTCATCATGAAATAGATTGCAGCAGGAAGAATAGCATACGAAAAAAACCATATACAGGTTCTAGCACATGACAAGTACATGCCATTCTTTACGTGCACTTGGCCCGCGCAAACTACGAAAATATGCAGAACGCAAAGTTCGTGCAAAAATTCGTACACACTTTCGCAAGGACTGTCGCGAAACTTCGTTCGAATTTTCGTTTTGCAGAACCTCTCTACTAAACCTTTCTTTAGCAACATGACGGCAACTGAAACAGCAACAGAGAAAGTATGATACATGTACTGCACATTCTTGCAGGTACTACAGGTACTACAACCAGATTGCAGATCGTAATTCTTGCTTTGGCGGCACGAAACTTTATTTGGGGCAGTGCAATCTCGCCGGTACTCACAAATCAAACAGCCCAGACTCGAGTAAACAAATCCAATCATACAAGTACGAGATTTTCACGAGACGAGACTGCACCCATTGGCTTGTTTCGTATGAAGCAAACAAGTTACTGAACCTCTCCACAATGGAGATTTTCCCTGATATGGGAATTTATTTGGCAAACTCGGTCAATGAGTCCTTGAACCTTTCCCTCCAGATTGGGAACTGCCAACGATAGTATGCCACTGACCAGTGCCTTACTTGTAACGTACCAATGTGCAATGAATATGAGTATTTCGACAACACATCTAACATAAGCCTTACCGTCAAGAAGGTGAACTCGCGTTCTTCGCACACTGTAGACAAGGACAAAGAGATAAAAATGGATCTAAATCCGAATAAAAGCAGCTCACGTTTCCGTAAATGAAAGGGTGAGCATAAGCAAATGAATCGAAGGAAACCGGTCAACTCAGAGATCACCTGTCATCGAGTATTCCATAAAAGGAGGCCTCGGCAGCAGAAAAGCTAAATTTGGAAAAGAGATCCTGTCAGCTTTTCCATTATTTATTGCATTCCGCCCAAAATCAGCACACTTTTCGTAAATGAAAGAGTCAACATAAGCAAATGAATCAAAGGAAACTGGTCAACTCACCTGTCATTGAGTAATATTCCGCGAAAGGAGGTCTCAGCAGCGCCGAAACGAAATAAGCCAGGCCAGGAGACGAAATATCCGAAACAGCTCATGCAAGAAGCAGTTCCAAAGAAGGAAGTTCCTCACGCATGCACATATCCGAACACGAATCCGTGGACTGCACTGCATGCATGCAACACAATGTCTGCCGTGCACGTGCACAGCACGCGGCTACCACGCGTTGGTAGATCTAATACCGAGCACCTTACGTAGAGATTTACGTAGCCTAAATGAAATACCGAGCACCTTACGTAGAAACTTACGTAGCACAGCGGTGTCGTTTTTCTTGCCATGTGAACACAATAATAGAAAAGTTGACAGGATCGCTTTTCTAAATAAATAAATCAGAAATTCGAACGACAACCAGTAGTGAGCAGGACGAAGACAGAAAGATCAAAGGTGAGGAAAGAAAAGTGTTTGATCTGTCAGTGGGTGCTTGCACCCGATACGGGGTGACAGTAAACCCTGTCAGATAGTGACACATCGTAGAGTTATTCTGCAGAGGGACTTCACTGAGCGGGAATATAACAAACACGTAAGTAACTCTAGCAAATCGTGAATAATAATTGTAAATGCATACACAATGTTATCATAAGTATTCGAAGACCATAGTTCCCTTTCAGTATACCACTGTCCTACAACATCAATGGTCAGCTTTATTCCCGTGCTAAGGGTACCCTTCAAGTGCAACTCCACGAATTTGCGGACGATGCCGTTTTGTTAATGAGTCCGGCTGAGGCTGAGCAGTCGCTTCGGACTTTTCATCGTGTTGCACCCCCGTTTGGTTTGTCCGTCAGTTCGTCGAAAAAACAATTCATGGCAGTTGGTGTTGGTATTTCCCCGGAGGACAGGATGCCGATGGACATGGGTGGCGACAGCATTTCGTATGTTGAATCGTTTGTGTACTTGGGCTCCCTTATCACGCCAGACACCCGGTCCTCACCTGACATCCAGCGACGGATTGCCAATGCAGCAAAGGCGTTTGGCTGCCTCCTACCAGTGTTCCGGGATGCCAGCTTGACGGTGGCAACAAAGCGACATTTGTACACGGCCTGTGTTCTGTCTGTTTTACTCTACGGTGCTAAGTCATGGGCTCCGCTTCGTCACGACTTGGATCTGCTGGATAACTTTCACCATCGGTGCATTCGCTCCATCTTATGCGTATGTCGGCGTCAGCAATGGGAGGAGAAGATCTCATCGGCAACGCTCCGTGCGCGCTGGGGTGACACTACACCAGTTCCAGACCTTGTTCAGTGTGGGCGGTTGGAATGGCTCGGGCACGTCGCGCGCATGCCTGCAGACCGTGCTCCCGTCCAGATTTTGTTTGGAAGGTTGAGTGGTTGTCGCCTTCCTTGTGGCCCCCGGCGGCGCTGGAAAGACATTGTCCAGAGAGACATGAAGGCAGCTGGCGTGGATTCCTGGTTTCAGAATGCACAAGATCGGCAGAACTGGAGGATGTTCCTTGCTGAGACACCACCACATGCAGATGATCTGCCACCTTTGCGCTGCTTGCTGTGTGCCAGAGACTTCCGCCGCCGTAACGACATCGCCCGACACAAGTGCATTGCCCAGCGGAAGTTGCCTGTGTCACAACAGAAGGGTGCCAGACAATGTATGAAGTGGATGCGGTGGTTGAAGAGCTCTGGAGGACTGGCTGTGCATCACTGTCCTGTATCCAAGGATGTCCCTGCTGTATCTATTCGCCATGAATCTGACTCTTTTCGATGGGATGTTTGTCGCCGCTCTTTCCGCTCCCGTTCTGGTTTGAGCGTCATCACTGTGACCGTACGAAACCTATGTCACCTGCAGCCAGGAACAACTGCCGTCATGAATGCGAGCATTGCGAAAGGCGGTTCTCAAGGCCACAGGACTTGCAACGCCATGCCCAATTCTGTTGAATTTGCGATTTCTCTCTCTTCTCTTCTCTCTTCTCTTCTCTCTTCTTGTCGTTGTCTCCCGTTTCTGGGAGCGGCGTGGTCCGATAGGGTAGCTGTACATAGTAGTAGTAGTAGCAGCAGCAGCAGCAGCAGTAGTGTGTGTGTGTGTGTGTGTGTGTGCATGTGTGTGCTGGAGCGCCATTTGAAGCATTGCCTACCTCTCCCCTAACCTAAGTACCTCCCTTCGGGGAGCGGCGTGGCCATTTCTGGCAGCTGTCAATAGTAGTAGTAGTAGTAGTGTGTGTGTGTGTGTGTGCGTGCGCGCGCGTGCGTGCGTGCGTGCGTGTGTGGTCACACACATCTTTCTTCTCTTTCTCAGACTCCTCCTGCCTTTTTTTCATTCTGCTGGGTGGTTACCAACAGCCAGTGCATGCCGGAGTATGTGGTGTGATGTGTGTGTGGGAAAAAAATGAAAAAGACCAAAAAGTAGGGATTCACTGGCCAGAAAAAAAGCCACTTCATAGCTGTGTGGTGTAGACCAGGCTGAATAGTGGGGGTCAATTATTTTAAATGCTGCAATCACAGCACACGTTGCTATGGCTTCTGCTGTAGCATCGCTATCATTGCCTCTGGCGATGGGCGTCAAATGGTCAATGGTGTGTGTGTGTGTGTGTGTTTGTGTGTGTGTGTGTGTGTGTTTCAACCTGTCGGAAGGCTACCTTCTTACCGAAGCATTTGGAAGATGGACTAGATTCTGGTCCACAATCCATTCTGTCGTTACTATAATTATAGCTTTCATGGCTGATGATGTTGGTATGTCTGTTGGCTCTGGGTTCCAAGTACTCAGCAGCCGAGGCTGGTTGGTAAAGTTACTCCAAGTTTACTTCAAGGTACCAGTGCATCTACTGTCTGCTTCTACCAAAGTAGCATGCTGTCTATACTGGTTACCCCAGCAAATGTAGGGTGTGCATAGGTAACTGTCTTTGGCCGTTTTATGCCACTGAACTCTGTGTGGTGTAGACCAGGTGTGCATTGGTGGTCGATTCACATGGCTTCACAGGTTGTGTGGATTGGACAGTTATCTGGCGCTAGTCTTGATCTGTCTCACTCAGATGTTGTCTGCTATCATTGCTATAAGAGAAAATCTGTGGGTGCACATCCAAGGCATGTTGGCGTGTTTGGTATAATGGGCTACAGTAGCAGCACTCTTGTGCAAGTGGAAATCATTTCCCTTTTCGGAGTTTCTGAATCACTGTTCTCTTTTGCCGTGTCAGTGACGAGGGCTGGCAATGTATTTTGTAATTTCTTCGTGATGTTCCTGATGATGTGCTCTCCTCAAAACAAACACATGGATCCACTGCATTCTCGTTGGCAATGATGCAGCAACAACAGCAGCAGCCGCAACAACAGCAGCAGCCGCAACAACAGCAGCAGCAGCAGCAACAACAGCAGCAGCAGCCGCACCAACGTCACTTCCCGCCGGCAGCAATTGTCAGCAGTCTATACCAGTCACAGTATGGTAACACGCCAACGGCATCCTCCCTCACCAGACCGAGTGGCACAGCGGTTTACGCTGATACGAGCTCTCCGTACTATTATCCTGGCAACAGACCTGGGCAGCATGGTCACCCATCTTACTCTGGATCTTCGGTGAAGGCACTTCCGGGACACCAGAGGAGTGTGAGTAAACAGACACAGACAGACACATACACACACACACACACACACACACACACACACACACACACACACACACACATACACACACACACACACACACACACACACACACACACACACACACACACATACACACACACACACACACACACATACACACACACACACACACACACACACACATTTACACACAAATACACATACACCGGCTGCTCTAGTGCTGCTGCATTACGCGTTGCCCGGTACTTTTCGTGAGTAGAGCACTCTGGCGCTAGAGCGACGAGCTATCTTAATGTCTGTGGTGCCTCCTTTGCACCATGGCTGGTAGCTCGGCCTATTTAGCTCATAGCTGTGCTGATGAGGCCTTTATGGCCGAAACAGCTTGCTGCAGCTTGCAGAGAATTTGCGCAATCTACAGATTGCGCTGCGCAATCTGAGAATTCCCACAATGCGCAAGCAATCTGCAGTTTGCGCAGGCATGCTTGCTCATTCTGGGAATTTTCAGATTGCGCCCCAAATGGATTCGCTGGGCTCTTCATGTTCTTTCAGGGAAATGCACAGATTACGCCTCACACGGATTCGCTGTGCTCTTCGTGTTTCTGCAACGAAATCCACAGTTTGCGCCCACAGGTTGCACGGACATGGATTTGCTGTGGTCTTCATGTTTTTCAGAGAAATACAGTGTGTATCGGTTATAGTGTGGTCGTATACAAGAATATACTGCTTACAAGAATGAACACTCATTTTTTCATTATCATAACACATATTTTATGTGTATATTTATTCTTACAAGCAGTATTATCGCATAGTAGAATATATCGGCCCTAAGAATGGATTTTGTGTAGCAAAATATGCCAGATTAGTGCAAAGTGTATCGCCTGTAGTAATAGCATCTGTGCTCTGTGCATACTCAATACAATAATATTCAACACAAAAAGAGAGTTATGTCCAAGGGAGCATTGGAGAATCACTTTTTCTGTCCAGTCGGACTCTTTCTTCAGACTTCTCTCGTGTCCGCTGCTCGGCAGTCACCTAGCACGACCGCGAGTCTGATTGATCCGTGTACCAAACGTGCGTGCATATGATATGTCACACGTGCATATGATAATGTCACACGTGATTTATCGTGTGTAAGAAATATCGGCAATAAGAATCAAATGTCGTTTTTCAAACACCCACGCTATAACCGATACCTACTGTATACAGTTATACACGCTGGGTTAACAAATATATTTATTTATTTCACTCAACTCGTGGCACATGACCAATTGGCACGCAAAGTGCGAGAGAGGAGGAGATGACCAACCAGGGCTAGAAAAGAAAATAAGTTTTGTTTGTTTGCCTGTACCATTGCTGTGCTCTTGTCGTATCTTTGCGTACTCTGCCTTGTTGTTTGGTCACGTGACGCAGATTTCACAGCGTGCAGAATTAGAACCTCCACTTGTCCGGGTTAAGCTGGAAAAAGCGAGGCTGTCGCGAGAAAACCAGCATGAAAGGCTCAAACGTGAACAGCAGCGATTACAGGTGAGAGTACAAGTGGTGTTGTCAGTTTTATGTCGTTGTCCATGGATATGAGAGGTGTGAGCTGGGTGAATGCTAGGTGTGTGGAACGTCTTGCTGACCCGATTGCCCACAACTACCGTGTTCCCAGACTACAGTATAAGTCGCACTCGATTATAAGTCGCACCCCTATTTTCAGGTTTGAGTCATACTGTTTTGATATACTCACTTCAGTAGAACGTCATGCTCGATTGTAAGTCGCACCCCCCCCCCCCCCCCTGTTTTCTTTTTTACAAAATGGCCATAAACGAGAGAGCTTGGAAGCTCAGGGCCCTACGCTATGCTTTTTTGCCTAGCTGCCTAGCTGATTATTTGAGGGTAATACGACACCGTCTACCACCTTGACCTAGGCAAAAAAAGCACAGGGACGTTATAAATTATTCATTTTTCCTATTTTTTTTTAAGCCATAACCTGGGATTCGAACCCACACTATCGCCCTGCATGCATTCCCCCCGGTACACTTTACTTCGCATACATACTCATTCTTCCAAGTTGCTTCACGTTATGATCTTGCATTTGAAAGCCCTATTTGAACACTGTGGCCAGCTGTCTTTGATGGTACGGTACGGAATAGCGCCAGGCATATGCGCATGTCGACAGCACAAACACACAAGCACGCAATCAAAGCTGTGTGGACCCTGGCTAGCGCCAGACTCTTTTGCATAGCTACGGGAATAAGATCAATTGTGCACTCATAAGAACAGCAAAAATTGGGAAAGTCTTTAAAGGTCCATAATGTTATCTCATGACTTTCAACAGTGGAACGCCGTCACATAAAAAATGTAATAACTTAACACGCAGACTTACAGACATGTACCGTAGTAACGCACTTATATGCGCATGTGCCTCTATTCTGATATAAGCGCACTTTCACTTATAAGCGCATGATTTTATAGACCAAGTACTACCAAAAGTATCAAGTTGACACAATTCCGGATAAAAGTCTGCAAAACAGCATACATAATATCTACTTGGAAGGTGACGAACGTCGTCCCGGTTCACAAGAAGGGTTCGCAATCCTGTGTGAACAACTACCACCCCATATCCCTTCTCTCCATTATCTCCCAATGTATTGAAACCATAATCAACCGGAGCATTATGAACTTCATCGATAGCAACTCCATTCTCTCTGCTCGTCAATTTGGCGTCCGCTCTGGACTTGGCGCAACTGACCTCCTAGCTCTTCACCACGAATGGAGCCGAGTTGCCAAGAGTGGAGGACTTGTGTGCGTCCTGGCAGTGGATATTGCTGGCGCGTTCGATAAAGTGTCGCGCCCTGGTGTCCTGTACATAGCTGAGCGGTATGGGCTCCAGGGACCTCTTCACCCTGGCTCAGAAGCTACCTCGCCAACTGCAAGCCCCAGGCTGTAGTGAGCGGACAGCGCTCTTCTTACCCCATCATGGCAGGCGTCCCCCGGGGTGGCATCTTGGGCCCGACTCTATACGAATGATGCTGAGGATCATCTACCTGCTGGGGCCCAGCTTTCTGTATTATGCTGATGACACTACCTTATACAAGTGCATATCGACCCATTCTGCCGTACCCGAAGATGTTACCGCACTCCAGCTTGCTGTAAATGCGCTGGCAGACTGGGGAATGGCCTGGCACCTTAGGTTTGAACCTACAAAGATTCAGTCCCTCCTGATTTCCCACCATCGCAACACAGCCGTCGTCCCACCGATTGTATTCCAGGGCACATTTGTTCCATAAGTCGACCAGCTGAAGCCGCTGGATGTTCTGATTAAGCAACACCTGTCCTTCACAGCTCATATCAGTCAATTGGCTATTTGAGGCTTGCAGCGTATTGGCTTCCTCCGGGAATCCTCACGTTTGCTGGACTCCAGAAGCTCTGGCGTGATCTACAAGGGCTTTGTCCGCCTGGTCCTGGAGGATGGCATGCTCGCGTGGATGAGCGCTGCACCCACCACTCTGGCTCGCCTCACTGCCATCAAACGCCGTGGCTTTCGCCTAATCGGTGATGGAGCCTTCCTTCCTAGCCTGGACATCCGCAGAATAGTTGGAGCACTCTGCTTTCTGTACAAGCTCCACTTTTTGACTTGCCCAGACATGCTCCTCGCTCTTCTTCCATCCCGAGCTACCAACACATCACGCCATAGCCGACGCACACAACAGCATCTCTCGCACCAGTTCCAGCTCGCCTCCACTCTTCCGCTCAGAGCACGGAATTATGTTCTTCGATCCTTCCCTGACGCTGTTGTGGGGGTCTGGAACCAGCTCTCGCCGTGCGTTCAGCCGAACCCGCCAACAAAGAAAGGACTGCAGACGTTCGAGGAGAAGATCAACGCCCACCTGCGCCTTATCCGCTGGGAGTGGGCAACAGACAGGCTGTGAACTAAAGAAAAAAGACGAAAAGAGCTCTAACTTTGTTCCCTCCTCCATTCACTTCTTAACTCTCTGATTTTATGCATGCGTGCCGTACTCTTTTTTACTCTGTACTCTGTACTCTGTGCTTTCTTGTTGTACCCTTGCTGGACTCTGCCTCACTTGTTGTTTGGCCGCGTGATGCAGGCTAGAATACCTGCAGCAGATTTAGAAAGTCAACATATCAAGGAAGAAGAGAGGCTGAAGGAAGAAGTGCTGGATGAAAAATTGAAGGACCTGAAACATGAAGAGCAGCAATTATGGGCTGCCAACGTGAACCAGAGAGCAGACATTGATCGACAAACATCTTCAGGGGCACTGAAGGAAAGAGCGCAACACGAAGCGGCTCATGATAAGAAGCAAAGGGAGCAACTCACCCAGGTAAGGTCTTGAAGTCTATATCAGGGACGGGTCCAGGGGGTTCCGGGTGTTAAGCGGAAACCCCTAAATTTTACAAATCTTCTACTGGAATCCATATGCATGTACTATACATGTATCAGCTATTCAGCTTTGGATAAACTACAACCCCCTGTAGAGATCTCTGGATCAGACCCTGTATAGGGGCGAGTGTGTTCCGAGGAGTTGAAGGAATGGCAGAAACATTACAACGACCGAGAACGGTATGCCTATCCAGCTACTTTTAAAACTAAGACTTACAACAGCACAATGCATGCTGTGTTTAATGTTACCAGTATCACTACCGATTACTGCTGATTTCTTCACATGTGGTCAACAACGACACGTCGAAGTGGCGGGACAGAAGTTCTCAGCTGCCGATGGTTGTCGAAGACATGCTGCAGTGGGGCAGAGCAGTAATCACTTCTACATTTTTGCAATCTCTCCATCTCCACACTTATTCAAAGGGATGACGATAACTACACTTAGAAGACTGTTTATTGACGCGACGACGAAACACAACTAGACATGACGAACTCAAGACGAAGACTGCTTTTCATACCCCAGCAACAGGCGCATGCACCAACATAACGTACACGCGACGGACACAAAATAACATACTATATACGATATGGTAAGTCTATCGAGATACGGTGCATACGGTATGATACGGTAGAAAATCCGTCTACTACAACCAACACATCACGCCATAGCCGACGCACACAGCAGCATCTCTCGCACCAGTTCCAGCTCGCCTCCACTCTTCCGCTCAGAGCACGGAATTATGTCCTTCGATCCTTCCCTGACGCTGTTGTGGGGTCTGGAACCAGCTCCCGCAGTGCGTTCAGCCGAACCCGCCAACAAAGAAAGGACTGCAGACGTTCGAAGAGAAGATCAACGCCCACCTGCGCCTTATCCGCTGGGAGTGGGCAACAGACAGGCTGTGAACTAAAGAAAAAAGACGAAAAGAGCTCTAACTTTGTTCCCTCCTCCATTCACTTCTTAACTCTCTGATTTTATGCATGCGTGCCGTACTCTTTTTTACTCTGTACTCTGTACTCTGTGCTATCTTGTTGTACCCTTGCTGGACTCTGCCTCACTTGTTGTTTGGCCGCGTGATGCAGGCTAGAATACCTGCAGCAGATTTAGAAAGTCAACATATCAAGGAAGAAGAGAGGCTGAAGGAAGAAGTGCTGGATGAAAAATTGAAGGACCTGAAACATGAAGAGCAGCAATTATGGGCTCCCGACGTGAACCATGGATGAGACATTGATCGACAAACGTCTTCAGGGGCACTGAAGGAAAGAGCGCAACACGAAGCAGCTCATGATAAGAAGCAAAGGGAGCAACTCACCCAGGTAAGGTGCTGAAGTCTATATCAGGGACGGGTCCAGGGGGTTGTGTGTGTGTGCGTTTGCGTGTGCAGGTGCGGGTGTGGTGCATTTGTTTGTGTATGTGAATGCCTATTGAGAGTATGCAAGTGTACGGCAAATAAGATAAAGCCTAAGAGGGTGCATTAAAGGGGAAGTCCGGTGAAAAATTTAAATTTCAGGGTCGGTAGAGTTTCGGGCGCTGAGTCGAATGGTGTTGGTCCCACGTGTCTCCGACAAAGCGTTCTCGTTATATTTCCGGTTGAAAAACTGAGTTTCTGGGGCTGCGCCATGACGTCATTTGGCCGCGCCACACCCTCCGCAACGTCATCATGGTCATAGCATGCAGCTAGGTCAAAAGGAGTGCGTGAAAGCAATAGTGTCAGTGCTATTTCAAATGATTTGGCGATCGATAGTAGGTGGTGCAAGCGACCCCGAAGACGTAAATCCTTGTGACAGTGAGGATGCAGCCATGGCTGACCTTCATGAGTTCGGCCTGGGGCTGAGAACCTCGGTATTCAGCTGAAGAAATGGCCGCTCGGGCCGGTCAAGAGGAAGCGCTACTGAGTTTCCGACTGATGAAGAAGCAGCAGCTATTGCAGACGAGGCTGATAATAATTATCAGATCGCTGGAGAGCAGAGTCGCCAAAATGGAGAAGAGTGATGCGAGTGCTCTAAATGTTGTGTAAGATTTGAGCGGTTCCAAGCTAGGTACAGTGAAGTGGCTGTTGAGACAGATTTCGTCTCGGATCTGGAACTGGACTCACATTTGGATCCCGTTGTGGCGGATAAGGAGTAGTTCGTGGGCTCATTGTAGTCCTCTCAACAAGAGCTTCCTAACAAGTCCTAGATCTTCAAATTGGTGAAGTAGAACCGAATGTATGGTGATTAGTGATTGTGTATCTTCATGACTGCCACAAATTATTTATAAGTGGGAAGCAAAAAGGTTATGGACTCTAAGGGTTGTGAAAAGAAGAAGGACAAAATGTTACGAGTTATGACTAACTGTCCACCAACGTAACCAGATCTTATACAGTCAGCGAGTGCGACAAAATGAGTTGTAGTAAGGCCGGTATGTCCAATAGTCTTACTAGTTTCGTCATCATCCAGTAACTTTCGGCATTCTTTGTTGCCGTGATGCGTAGCTCATGCTCTTCTTCATTGCGCTTTCCTTCCCCTCTTGGACCTTTCCGAACCTGAGCCTTCCAAGTTGGAAGGTTGTTGGTTTGCGCCTTGGAGACGTGTTGGAGCTAGGTGTCAGGTCGCCGAATGTCTCAGTACTCCTTGTCAGTTTTGTGCCATTTTGTCGCACTCGCTGACTGTATAAGATCTGGTTACGTTGGTGGACAGTTAGTCATAACTCGTAACATTTTGTCCTTCTTCTTTTCACAATTATTTAATTGGCTCACCATCCGAGTTACACTCTAATGGTTAATTGGCATTACTCTGAAAAACCACCCTGTACTATAAAACATTGCTGGGTCGGCCAAGCTTCAAGAGAATTTCTCAACACACTCTGAGTCTCTACAGACAATAGTCTTGACCATATTAGTAGTTGGTTGGAGACTGCAGAAGGAGATCCCGATGGCATACACAATCCGGGTGATCCTTGCGGTGTGGACAAAAGGTGTCATGGGTATGGGTATGGGTATGGGTGTGGATCAGATTGCAAGCGTTGTCGCCGTACTTCTCGGCTCGGCTTGTATTCCGTGTGTGCTAGCTCCACTTCCTCTTGTTTCCCTTCTGTCTATCTGTGACTCTCATCTCATTGTTCTCTCTATTTCTCACCGTCTCTCTCTCTCTCTCTCTCTCTCTCTCTCTCTCTCTCTCCCGATGCAGGCCAAAACATAGACCCCGGGGCTGATTTCATGAAGCGGCGTGAGGAAGAGAAGGCCAGGAACCGGGGAATTAGCTTTGCCTCTGGCGGTGCTGGTCAGTTTGAGGACGACTACGATGATGACAGCACCGACGGTGGACAGGGAAAATACATATTCAAATAAAATGAATTTGAAGTACGTTCGATGACAGTGTGCCTGCTGCCGTATCGTGAGTCGGTGGTCTCCCCGAAAGGCTGCTGTGCCTCAGACTGAGTAAGAATATCTAGGCTCCTGGCTGCAGATGCGCCGGGCATGATGTGAATGCCGATGCTATGAACAAGATGAGCTCGTTGAGGTGTCTAGTATTTTAAAATCGCGTGCGGCAGTTTTGGGAGAATGCTGTTGAATGGCCTAAGGACCAAATCAAGACTCGCCACCTTTATAGAGTTTGTCACACCCTCTCACTAAGGCACCTTCAGAGAATAATGCAAGAGATTTGGACCTTTGAAACTCTGCAATTTCTGATTTGATTTTTGTGATGTTGTGGTTTGTCAGTGTTTTGTCCCGTGTTTCGTCCGGTGTTTTTGTCCAGTGTTTTGTCCAGTGTTTGGTCCAGTGCATGTGTGCTCCAGCAATGCTTGTTCTCCAAGCTGGTATCTTCCTATTGCTGCTGCTGCTCTCAAGAAATGCTTCATGTAAACAAAAAATAATAATAATAATCAGTTGCCTGGTTTCTATGCGACTAACTCGCTCACATGTGCAAGGAGAGGGGAGAAGGAGGCTGCTCGTGCAGCAGAGTCCTGTGCCTGTGGCCCACACACCTGGTGCACAACCACAATACAGACTGGATATGTTACCCATACATGCAATAAGAGTTTTAAAATGATTATCATGTCAATATACATTGTGTTCATAATGTGTTCGCATTTTTGGCAAGTTTCAGCAACAGCCCCAAAGTCTGCTCTGTGACCCATGTAAGGATGCGTTCTTTTATTCTCTAGCTTCTCGGAGAAGAAAAGAGAAGTCGAAGAAAGTGGTATAATGCAAGAACGGGTCTCCAAGAATTCGGAGATATTTTTCACATGTGAAGCAATATGAAGCGCCAAAGGGGCCGTGATCTTCAGTGCCATGAATGTAGTACGCATTGTGCGTATGCAAAATGGGAAATGCGTACACTCATGATCAACACATCCAGCTTTTGAGCCAAGCAGTAACTTTATAATAGGAAGGAAAAAAGGAAGTACAAATTACGCTATAAAAATTATAATGTCCACTAACAGCAGCAGTAACTTGACAGCCAGCTCATACGTTAAGATTGCATGACACAGACCAACGGTTTTGTTGTGTATACAGGTAACAATAATAATATTATTTATCCAGTCTGGCTTGTGCTTTTGCATCTGGGTGTGGGCAATGCATAATTATAGGCATAATGACTCTGCGGCATGAGGCATGAGCAGCCTCCTTCTCCCCTCTCCTTGTGAGGGAGTGGGCGAGTAAACGAGTGGGTGAGAGGCAGCGTCGTGTGATTTTGACAATGCTGGTTTTGTGTGTGCAGAGTTGTGTGTCGACGTTTGCAGTTTATGACTCCCTACTCTTGACCATCCCCTCCCCTTCCCGTACGCTCCCCCATCC